GTACACTCTGCCCCATCTTCGGTGACTAATCAATGCAGTCCGATGTCACTTGTTGTTTTCAATTGAACCACGCGAATCAAGGCAAACCAATGAATACGCTTACAAACCTTCAAAGCTGTCAACAGCAAACTCAACAATCGGCGTTCTGCTTGCAGATCAACAATTGTATTCATTCCAGTGGAGCGCAAATCAACGACGGTGACGGAAGCTCAAAGAGAACGTCACCACAACTTTATAACGCTCAACAAACTAACTGCAGGATGCAACAGCAGCAACAAACCTGCGCATAATTGTCAAATCAATATGAATCCTCCGGCTCAATACAATTGCAATTGCGCAAGGATTTACGGAAATCAATTTTATCACGATCAACATGGTGGATCATTGCCGAAGATACAATTCAGAGATATTAGTCAATCACAACAAGGCTCGCCGATAAAGCTTCCTCAAGATATGAGACAAAAATTCTACCGCAGAGTACGTTCAGCAATGTAGGAACTGATCGATTAATGCTCAAATCCATGAGACCAACGTCTCCAACTCGACGCATCCTATGTCATTGCCGCAACCTTTACCAGCTAACAATGACATGACATCTTCGCTTAATTCTTTACTAGAAGAAAATAGGTATTTACAAATGATTCAATGACCTGTCTACTAACGAGCAATATCAATTTAATTCCACTATCGATAGATAAACTGTTGCGCTTAAAGACTTTTTTATTTGATCGTTACAGATAACATAAGTTTATGTTTAATAAAATTTGCTGTACATAAATAAAATTAAAATATTAAACATGAAACATTTGACTAAATTTATGGTAATGTGTAACTTTATATAAGAACAGTTGATTTATAGTTTGCAGATTTTTAGATTCATTACTGACTTTTATTCCATATATATGTCTCAATATATTGATTAAAGAATTAAATGTTATGAATAAAAAATATATCATAATTATAACATGTTTCGAGAAAACAATAAACTAACACATTTGATAAAATTAAAAATTACACGTGACTCTATATAGGAGCAGTAGATTCGTACTTAGTAAATTTTTTCAATCTTACTTAGTAAATTTGTTCAATCTCTCTCTTTTCTGACGATTTATAAGAAAAAAATTGTTTAAAGAATTAAAAATTTTTAATGAAATAATTATAATCCGATTTGGAAACTAATATATACTTTCTGCAAAATTTGGTATGTTGTACGATAAAAAATATTGACAAATTAATAATTAAATAAACTTTAACTAATTTTAAATTTGATTAGAACTATTATTATCGCATCACTATATCTACTCTAATAGTGGGATTTAGTTAAAATTTTCGTATTAACATTTATTAATTTCTCTTTTATCATTCACATTTTAACGACGAATTACCTGATGTAACTAAAATAAGTATTCCAGTATAATAGCACAGAGAATTTAAAATAATTCAGTCATCAATTCTGAATTCGTTTTAAATGCAAAAAGAATTCTTTTTCTGAAAAGTTCTGAAAAAAAGAACTTTCTTTTTACATCTGAAAATGAATTCAGAATTCATGACACGTTTTATTAACACAGTACAACAAATCTTATAGTGCATATAGCAGAGATTATAGTGATAAAGATTTGTTTATCTCTATTTATTTCACACCTTTTTCTTTTCTAACAATAATATTAGCATAATTTGAGATAATTTTCATAATTTAATCTACTAGTAATATAATACAAGATATCTCATGAAATTGGAATATACAGTATTTAAAAATAATCGTTAAAAAACATAAAGTAGGCCCATTAAATAATCGATTCAACGTTAAAAGAAATTCAACATATGCTTTTTTTATGGAATATTATCCATGAGACAAATATTGAAGTGAAAGTTGCGCAAGCGCATTAACCGTTTCTTACTCAGTATCTTCGTTCTTTCAATAGTGCAGTTGTATGTTATTTCTTTTTTATTCTTTAGAACAAAAATATTTAAAGAATGTCATATCCACTAGATTAAACGTATTTAAGCTAGTATGTACACAAAATCAAAGAAATTCAACGAAAATAATAATAAAAATTTTTATAAAGTAAGTAAATGAAAAACCAAAACAAAATTCATAACTATTCAATTGTATATTTATAAACATATAGGATTCATTCAGATAGATTTCTTTCAGAGAGAAGTAATTCCGCTCTATTTACAGAAGAGCGCTTTGTCAAAAATTGCGGGACGCCCTGTATAACATATAATTTTGTTTTTTTTTTAATATTTTGTTAGTTTTATCTATTGAAGAAAGTTAAAAATTGTTGAAAAATATTTTAGTAACTATAAATGAATAAATAAGAGGAATGTATAATTATTACCACATTTAAATGGTTGATTAAATATTCCCTATTTTTATCCCATTCATTTTATTTTAAATTTTAACATTAATTTTATACATTACTTTAAATACGAAGCTACGATCTGAATGTTAAGATGTTGAACTATTATATATATTCATATAAATGAATTAATTTTAGAAATGATAATTGCGTGCCGATATGATTGGCGGACATTCAACGCAATCAATCTGAAATATGAATAATCCCCCCAAATTTTCCAAATTAATCTTAAAAAACTATAATAAATTTATTACGAAAAATATTGCCTTAGTCGGGAATCGAAATCAAATCTCTTGCATTTCGTGTGAGCGTCCTAATTTAAGATTAATTTGAGAAATTTTCATCATAATATTCAGACTGTGGCGCTTCGTATTTAAAGTAATGTATTTAACATAAACGATCTTGTTTCCAATCTTATTGTTAATTTTATAATTTAAAATAATTCAATAATTTAACTACAACGATACAAAAAAGTGAGATTAAAATATTTATTACTTGATACTTTTTGTAGAGTAGAAGGTCGAACAGTTAAATAATTGATTCAGTGTGGAACGAAATTTAACACATGTTTTCCTTTTCATAGAATATCATTCACGCGAGAAATTATAAAGTGAATGTTACACAAACATGTTATTAATTCGTCAGTTTTTAGAGCTCATTCGTATATTTCGTTTCAATGTATATGCACTTGTACGTTATATATGTCTGCTGGAGTATAAATGTTCTAAAAGTATCACGTAAACATAATTATATAATAACAATATTGTGTAACATTATTGTATATAATTAATGTACTTATATTTCTATTTTTTTTAATGTATATATGTATACTTCTTATGTTATCTAAATTAAATAATGTTTTATAAAATATGAAATAATATAGGTTTATAAATACTAAACAGAAGACTGTAAAATAGTAATATTAAAATCATATCGATTTTAAATATTAAAAAACAAAATAAATAATATATATATATATGTGTGTGTGTGTGTGTGTGTGTGTGTGTGTGTGTGTGTGTGTGTGTGTGTG